GGAGCGGGGAAGGCGGCTGCATAGGGGAGGGCTGGTGGGGAAGCTGGAGGAGGTGCCAGGCTCCTCTCTGGGCCGTGGGGAAGAAGGGACTTCCCGGCTCTGCGTGCCACTGACCCTCCCTGTCCCTTCCGTGGAATGTCCTTCCGGTTCCTTCCGAGGAGCCCCCTCCAGACCAATGTCTGTCTTCGGCCTCCCCGTGCGCTTCTGGAGGCTTCTGAGGGTAGGCCTGGCCTCGGAGGGGATGAAAGAGCAAAGGGAGCAAGAGGCCAAGTCCAGCCCTCACTGCGGCCTCCAGGAGTCCTGCAGCGGGGGGCCGGGGCCGGGGGAGGCCAGGGAGGGAGAGTGCAGGTCCGGGCCTCCCCTCCTCACCTGTCTGGCTGCCTGCTCTCCCTGACACAGACCGGCCTCCGCGTCCCCCAGGAGGCTGAAAGGAGAGCTCTTGCCACAGCACAGGAACTGCAAGAACGTATGGAGGGATGCGTCTGCAAGGTGGGGAGGACGGGGGACAGCACAAGGAGGCCACTGGCGAGGGGCGCCCAGCAGAGCTGCCCCAAGAGGCCCGGGCCGCGTGCGGGGGCGGCAGGCACCAGGCGGCCCGGCCCTCCCGGCCCCGTGGCTTCCCCATAAAAGGAGGGCCCGTAACTGTCCACCGCAGCTGTGAGCGCAGCCACCGCCCGGCCCGCGGATGGTGCATCAGCTGGCGCCCGCCTCCCGGGCTGAGACCCGGTGGCCACTGGGGCCTTGCTTCATGCTGTGCCGTCACCAGCCTGAAGCTCTTAATCAGTTTTGGACAAGAAACCTTTCCATGTTGCTTTGGCCCCCAAATTAGGTGGCCAGCCCTGCCCAGGTCAGAGGGAGAAGACAAGAGGTCTTTGTACCGCCCTCCCCACTACCGAGAGGGTGTCAGTGGCCTATGTCCCGGGACCCCTGGCTCAGCGTCTGGCCCGGGGCCAGCTGACTCTGGGGGCAGGCCACCCCTACACCCATTTTCTGGGTTGCAGTCCACCTGGGGAGGCTGAATGTTCCGGAGCCAGCCTGGCAAGGGGGAGGCCACCCCCCACGTGCTCACCATGTCCTGAATGGCCACCAGCTGCTGCCGCGGGGTTCCGGACAAGTTCTTCACCGCCCGGTCATACACCAGGTCGTAGGTGTCCAGAAAAGCATCCTCCACCTGCACCAAGAGCATCGTGGGAAGACCTCCGTGCTGGTGAAGCCCCCTCCCGAGAGACGCGGCTCCCCAGTGGTGGGCCTGGCCCGAGTGTGCCGTCCTAAAAACTCCCCTCCTCCTTCCACTGGGCAGAGCCCCCTGAGGCCAGAACCTGGGTCTCCTGGGAGGCTGGTCCCCAGACTTCCACATGGGGCCCCCTCCCAACAAGAATGACCACTACTGTCCCAGTCCCGTGCTGGGGCCAGGTTCCTGCACGACGCGCCAGAGACCCGAGCCCTGCGGCCCGCCTCCAGTGCTGGTCATTCGGGGTGTGGCGGGCCTGGCCGAGGGAAGGTCCACCCTGCGTCTGTCCATTTGGGTGGTGGGACAGGGAAAGCCGACAGCCAGGCCTGGGCAGAGAAGGCTGGGAGAAGCCTCCTGCCAGGAGCTCAGCTCCCTGCTGATGGTCTAGGTCTCTCCCTAGAACCACCTGGTGGGTTCCAAAAACCCCGGGCAGCTGGGCTCCAGGCAAGGCCTTTGGCCAAAGAAGCCATGGGTGTCCAGGGCCAGCTCTGGGCAGACAAGGCAGATAGTAGGGGAGGAAGGCATTGGCCAGGGGCCTGGCCGGGTGCTGCCCTCACTGCGCACCCCAACATCACCCAGACCCCACTGCCTCTACCCTCCTACGCACCTCCTTCTGCCTTTGCTCACACCGCTCCCCGCAAACCTAAATGCCCACCCTTGCCAAGTTAGTCCCCCCAAGACAAACTGGAATCTCACCTCCTCCAGGAAGGCTTCCTTGACTGCTCTGGACTCAGCAGTCTCCTGGCACAGGCCAGGCTTCTTTGCACCTCCCTTGCCCTCTGATGCCTCCTATCCCCTCCCAGAGACCCCTAACACTCACTCCCTTGCCCCTTTTCCCACCCTGTGCTGTGCCGAGCTTACAGCTGGGACACAGCTGTGGCTGCTCAGGGCTGCCCTCCAGGGCTCGGGTAAACCCTGCTCCGGCCACTCACGTGCTCCCGGAAAGGGTGGCCTTCCGTCCGGCATCCTGGGGGACCGGGGTAGGTGGGCCACAGAGGCTGCCTCAACAGGAACCAGAGGGACTTTCATCCCAACCCCACCCCCACTCCTGGCACTAACTGGCCCTCCCGTGGAGACATGCACTGCAAGCCATCCCGAACTGGGTCAGCTGGCTTCTAGCCAACCCGCTGGGAGGTGGGCAGTGCCCTGGGCTGGAGGGCAGGCGTCAGGCTGGCCACCAGGGCTGCAGGGCCTGGCTAGTGGCCCTCTCTCTGCCTGTTGCCTCAAGACCACGAAGTCTCTGTGTCCTCACGGGAGGGGGCCCGGGGAGGCTGGGGGCCCAGTAGAGTGGGCCTGGGGTCAGTGGGCAAGGGGCTGAGACAAGGAGGCCAGCTCAGACCACCCTCCTGGTTCCATCCCCCCACTAGGGCCCCGCGAGTAGCTGGGTGCCCCAAGGCCAGCTCTCTCTAGTGTAACCTTGGCCTAGGAACAGTGTGCTGCCCTGGAGTCTGTCCCCACCACCCCAGAAGCAGGGGACATGAGCCCCTGCTGCAGGCAAAGACGCAGATCCTGCCAAGCCACGTCCCTCACTCTAGACTCCCGGGCTTGGCAGTGGGGGCCAGGCTGGACTCTTCTCATAGACCTGGGCATCTGTCCCCTATTACTGAGTTTAGAGGGTGCTCTAGGAGCCTGAATCTGTGTTTCCCCAGGAGAAAACTGGGGTGGACCAGGTGGTCTCAGAGGCCACCTGGCCCTGCCACCTCTGAGTCCCCTGCCACCTCTGAGTCCCCTGCCAGGATCCCCCCTCCTTAAGCCTGACTTCAGACCTCCAGGGGTGCCCCCTAGGATGGATTTGGAGCAACAGGGGTGGAGAGTGGCAGCTAGAAAACCCCGCGAGGGGCAGGGGCACCCTCTCACTGCCCGCCCAGGGACTGTGGCCTGCTTTGAGGCCACAGAAGAACGTGGCTGGTCCCTTCTGACTGCATTCTCTGGCTTCCTGTCTGTAGGCCTGCCCCAGGCTGCCATCGGCACCCCGTATTTCAGGATATCTTGGGGGGTTGTCCAGAGAGATGCAGGGGGACAGCGGGAGTGAACCGGTTGGCCTTTGGGATCTCTCTGGTCACCGGGCTGCCAGCAGGACCCTGGAGAATGAAGGAGCCTGGAGCTGGGACGTATCTGGGCTGGGAGGGTCCCGAGGCTCAGGTTCCCGGGGGAGGCCCAGGATGGAAGGCACCCCCTCATGCAAGCCCAGACACCTCTGTAATAGTCCCACCGAGCCCTTCACTGGCCCTGTTCCTGCTGCGTGGCAGCCCCTCTCGGGTCTCCGCGCCCCCCTCCACTGGGGTGGAAACTGAGGCTGGGAAGGCAGCTGGTTGCCCGAGGGTACCCGGCGGGGAGGCTGAGCCCAGGCTGAGGCAGAGCTCCCGTGACCAGGCCACTTCTGTGCCCGCAGGTGCCTGGACACGCACACAGACCGCACTGGGAGGCACACTGGGAGCCCCCATCAGGGGTCAGGCAAAGCCCCGAGAACCGACCCCCAAGGGCCAGTCAGAGCCTGGACCAGATCAGGAGGGTTTCGTGGGGGATGGTGGTGGGGGGTTGGGACAGAAGAGGCCCAGCTGGGAGCTGTCTGGCTTCCATCCCCTCCCCTTCTCAGAGCAGGATCCCCAGCTGGTCCACCCGTGGCCTGCAGCCCCTGCACGGCCCCTCCCCTGCAGAGCCCAGGATCCAGGGCTCCAGCTATAAACACAGTGCGTCAGAGAAGAGAGGACGGGCTGTAGCTGTCCCAGGAGAGCCGCAGGGGGCCCCAGGACCCTGGCAGCTGTCCTGACCGGGCCCACCCATGCTGTGACCCAGACCAGCAAGGGGCCGGATCAGTGGATGGAAAGATGAGCCTGAAATGCCTGCCCGCCTGGCTCTCCTTGAGCAAGCCTGCTGGCCAGCCCCACCAAGGGCCCAGGTCACCCTGCGGGGGCACCAATCCCCTCCAAGAGCCTCGCAGCCAGAGGAAATGTAACGAAAGGGGGAGGTGACCCCAAATGATGCCAGGGTGGCGGTGGGCAGTCTGGGGGAAATCCTTGGGCAGGGAAGGGAAAAGAGGCATTGACTCAGGGCCCTGGATGGTGGGCTGGATCCCCCTGGGCCCTCCTGCCTGGTTCTGCCAGCGTGACCTGGCTCCCCACCCCCCAGGGCTGAGTACCTCCTCTGCAGGACAAGGGCATGGCCGCCATGCTCGGCCTGGTGACCCAGCCTCATGGCCAAGGAGCATGGAGAGGGAGAAGCAGAGCCCACTTCTGGGGCACAGGAAGCCAGGACCAGAGAGGATAATCACACAGCTAAAAGCACACAGTAGGAACCTGGCCCAGTGTCCTGAGCCAGCTGCCCCCTGTGAGGCTCTGCTCCTGCATGACCATCGGGGGTGGGGGGTGGGGGGGAGGACAGAGAGGCTGGAGCCACTGGGGGCTGAGACACACAGGCAAGAAATCACGCCTGTCCCGTGCTGCTCACACAGTGTTTTGCCAGAAGCCGAGTACGTTTCAGGCAGACTGGCCTCCGTGTCCCTGGGCTGGTCCTTGTGGAGCGCATGGAGAAACTGAGGCCCATTGAGAGGAGGGGCTGCTGGGGATCACAGAAACTCAGGGCAGACAGGGCCTACGCAAGACAGCTCTCCTGCCCCTCTCTGCGGCCCCTCCAGCTGGCCCCTTGGCTTCCCAGCCGCCCTGGGGGGCTCGACTGGGTCTGGGCTCTCAAGGGATCTTGTCCATGGCTGGGGGCTGTGGGAAGGCCCGTCCCTTGTCCCTTTGGCCTCCGCCAGGGAGCAGCTGGGCTAGCAGCTCGCCCCTACTCTCCATCCTGCCAGGGCCCCTCTCTCCGAGCCTCTTGGGTCCCCACTTGCTCTGCCCAGACAGGGGGCCTGGCCTTGACCCCCAGCCCTGGTCCGGCAGGGGGCCAGCCCCACACATGCACTGGCCAGCCCCATCCCCCAGGCTGGCTCTCGGCTTCATCTCAGGGCCCCGAATCCAGACAGAATTTCTGGAGGGCCAGGCTGTCCTGGCTCCTGTGCCCCAGGGGCTCCCCTCAAGCTGTGGCCCTGCCCTGCTCCCCTGGGTCAGCACCCAGGCCTGCAGGCTTCGAGCCCCACTCACGTATGTGCTCTGGGGGCCGGGGCCCTCGTGACTGAGTTAGCCCAGAGCTGGGGTTTCCCACGACCCTCCAAAATGGGACAAGCGCCCTCTCACATCCATCGACACCCAGCTGAGCCAGCCAGCACCCAGAAACCATCAGCTGAGTGGATGGAAGGACGGATGGACAGATGAAGGAAGGAAGGAAGGAAGGAAGGAAGGAAGGAAGGAAGGAAGGAAGGAAGGAAGGCTTCAACTCCTGTGGGGGGTCCATCCCCACCATGACCGTGGGCATCACCACCCCAGTCACCACCAATGCAGAAGCCCTGGGAAGAGCCCACAATGGGAGTGGGACCAGGACAATAGCCAGCACCTGCCTCCCGCTGGGCCGCCCCTGCTCCAGGACTGAAGGGAGGATGTCCTCCTGGGGCCTGGACACTGGCAGGGCCCACTCGGGAGCGCAGTCCCTTCTGGGCAGTTTCCAGAGCACTGACCCCTCTAAGCAATCCCTCAGGTCGGCCGGGACCCCCCTCTCCCTGCTCTTCATCCCCTTTCCAACTCCCGGCCCCTCTCAGGGCCCAGCAGAGGACAGGGCTGAGGGGCCTGGGGGTGAGGGGGTCGGAGGTCCACACCTGCTCCCACTTTCCTGGGAGCTCCTGCACCAGCCCCAGAGAGGTCTGGCCCTCAGGGCCCTGTGCCCCCCCCTTCAGGCAGAGGATGTCCGCCAGAATGGTCTCTCCCCGGTGGAGGGGCGACTTTCCCAGCTCAGGTACCCCTCCGCTGTGTGATGGGGGTGGGGCCGGGTGCTCACCTGGGTGGGGTTGTGGAATCTCCAGAAGGCCACCTGCACCAGGGCACTGAACACCAGGGCAAAGCACAGGAAACCCTGGGACAGAGGAGGCATGGGTCAGGGTGTGCAGCCCAGCGGGCCACCTGCAGGCCACCTGCAGGCCTGGGCCTTCCCCGCGGGCTGCTGCCCCCCAAGGGGGAGACCCACCATGGGCTGCGGGGGGCACACTCTTCCCACCCCTTCTGGCCCTTTTGGGAACTCTCTCCCCATTGCCATCCTGGCTCATGAGGGCACGTTGATGGCAGAGCCATGTCCCCTCCCCCAGGGAAGGAGGGAGTCCCCAGGATGATGGAAGCCCCCGCCCAGGGGGGCTGCTTCCGGGGATGGGCCCTGGGAGAAGAAACTTCCCCTTTGCAGGAGGGTCCAGGCGGGTGCAGCGTGGCTCTGGGGCTGCCCGCTGCCCTGGCCAGGGGCGCTGCCTACAGGTTCCCAGCAGAGACAGCTGGTGGGGCACCCCGAGGTAGGGTTAGCCTGGCAGGGAAGCACCTCCACCCCGTCTTCAGACCCTGTGCAGTCCCCTGACTTACCCCCCTGGGACCCCAATATTGGAGATGGGAGTTCTCTGGGGGGAATGTCTTTCCATCACCAGCACCCCCACAGTGCCCTTCTCTCTGTCGGTCGGGGGGTTGGAGCTGTTGAGCCCCCGCTTGCAGAAGCCGGGAATCTTACAGACCCCGCCCCTGAGAAATGCACTTCACAGGCCCCAGGACTCTTTTGTGGGCAGTTTCAGAGGGTCACCCCAGACTAGGATCCCCAGCCTATATGCTGCCCTGGGGACATCATCCCCACCCAGAACTCGGCCTGCCACCTGCATGCCGGGGACCCTCAGACTGGGTCTCCCACCATGTCTCCTGCTAGAGCTCTGGGCAGCTCATCGGGCTGCCGGCCACACAGCCTCGGTGTCCGGAGGGCTGATGTGTCCGCATCACCTCCTCCCCTCTGCTCCGGCTTTGTGGAGCACCGCTGCCCCGGCCATGCGTCCCTGGCTGGGCTGACACAGCACCCCTCCCTGGCCCGTCCACAGCCCGGCGCAGGCTGGGGCCGGGTTCTCCCCACCCAGGGGCCTCCTCGCGAAGAGTGACACCCAGGAGAATCGATGACCAGGGGAATGGAGAGATGCCTGCAGACACAGACGGACACACGGACAGGGGCTGTGGGCAGGGCTGGCACCAAGACCCAGTCCCACCAGGTGCTGGGAAAGAACGGGCCACCCCCACCAGTGCCCGGTCTTGGTGCGGGCACAGCGGCCTCAGGCTCTACTCGGGGACGGGCAGCCCCTGCGTTCTCCTGCTCCCTCCTGCCCGCCCAGGGGCCTGCAGGGCCTCAGTCTCCAGGACATGGGTTCCTTCCTCCCCCTCCTCCTCCCTTCCTCCCTGTCCTTCCTCCTCCCTCCTCTTCCTCCCTTTCCTTCCTCCTCCCTCCTCTTCCTCCCTCTTCCCCCTCCTCCTCCTCCTGGCTGGCTGAGGGCCTCCTTCTCCATCTGGAAACCATCGCTCAACACTGCCTCCAGGCTAGAGGCCCTGAGCCAGCTCAGGGGACCAGCATTTTCCAGAAATCATTTCATTCCTCCGGAGAGAGCGAGTGCCCTCCCTACCTCCACTGGCCCGCCTGCAGATGGGGCCTTGGGCGAGGCCCACTCCGCGTCCCCAGGGCCTGCGTAGTGCAGGCCTGCTGGGGGCAGCTGGGCCCGGCTCTGCATTTTCTTGGTCCTTGTAAATAAAATACATAAATAAACCAGCTGCCCCTGCCAGCCCTGCTCTAGCAGCCTGGCGAGCTGGTTCATTTCCTGCTCCAGAGGCCTGTGTGGGGCGAGGCCCGAGGGGGTGGGGCAGGCAGGGGCGGGGCGGGGGGGACAGCGGAAGGGTCTCCCTGCTTGATCGTCCCTCGTCTGTGCTGCTACGTGTGTCCAGACACACAGCCGTGCCAGACACCACGGGCATGCGGGGACCCCTCGCCCGGGCCCCTCGGGGCCGGGGGGCTGGGCCCAGGGAGGGGTCTGGGTGCAGCAGGCTGGGGATGCAGACGCGAGACCCCCGGTGCTCCCCAGCCCGGCCCACGGACCAGGGCAGCGGGCAGCCTTGAGCATCTGGGCCGGGAAGAGCAGGTGGGAGCTGGGGGGCGGGGCACAGGAACCCGGGGAGGGGAGCACCTTCCGCCTCCTAGAGCTTAGGGCTTTGGCCCAGCACCATGGCGTCCCCTGGTGGCCAGGCTGCCGCCACCGCCCGGCCTCTCCAGGCCTGGGCTGGCCCTGCGGCAGCCTTGTCCTCCAGCCCTGCGTGCCTCTGGCAGGCCCCAAGCCTTAGGGCTCCGCTCTCGGGGGACAGTCCACCTGCCCTGTCAGCTCCCACTGGGCCTCCCCTCCCTCCCTGACTCCTGGCCACCAGCAGACCGCACCGGCCAGAGTCTTCGTGCCCGCTCGCGCCCACACCGCCCGGCCCACCAGCCAGCGGGGTCCAGGTTAGGGCTGGACTGCCTGGTCCCACGCTGCTCCCCGAGCCCACCCCGGGCTGGCCGCCCGGGCCGCAGCTTCGGGAGATGACTGTGTCTCCACTCCTGCAGGAACACGTACCCTGGACCCCTTTCCAATGTAAACCCCCAACCCCAAGAGGCAGAGAGACTCCCTCTCCTGTTCTTTCCGAGTCTCCCTCTCCTGTTCTTTCCGAGTCTCCCAGACACTCTGTCTGGGACTCTCTGTCCCTCACTCATGCTATTCAGTAAACTCCGTTCACTTTCTACCCTGTGCGGAGCCGAGGGCCCTCCTGGCTGGTCCCGCGGGAACCCCTCTGGGTCCTTGGACCTGGCCTACCTCCATCAGCAGGACTCTGTCCCGAGCCTGCGAGGAGTCCTGGAGACCCCAGGCAGGGAGGGCAGGTGCCAGGGGGACACGGGGGTGCAGGTGCGTGAGCCCAGGGCACCAGGGAGCCCAGGTTCCAGGAGGAGAGGAGAGCCTGTGCCCAGGACAGACAGGCCTTGGGGGGGCGGGGCTGGCAGGCGGAGCAGCGGGACAGGCCAGTGGGGACGAGGATGGACCCAAGGGGACGAGCAGGAATGGGGGCAACGAGGGGGCACTGGCCCTTGTGGGGTGAGGCAGAGCCTCTCCACAGCTGCAAAGGAGCAATGCGGCTCAGACCCCCTTGGGGCACAGCACAAGCCCAGACCTACGGGTGACCTGGCCAGTGGAGGGGCTTTTCCCGCCTCCCCTGGCCCAGTAACAGGAAGCGGAAGCCGGTTCCCAGAGCCTCTGGTGTAAGAGAACCAGACGCTCCCTTTGGCAATGGCCACCAGGCCTGGGAGGACCGGCGCTGCCTTTCTTGCCTCCGTGGATGATGGGGTGAAGCAGGGCCTGGCGGAGGGGTCCTGGTTGGCCCAGGTGGACGGGCGTCCTGGCTGGCGCACATCCTTTGGGCCTCTGTTTCTGCCGGGACTCTGTGGGAGGAGGCAGGCTCCCTGGGCTCTCCCCGCCCTGCGCGCTCCTGAGCCCATCCCAGGGGCCGGGGGACTGGGGGCAGGGACAACTCACCCCAGCCATGAGGCCCCCGGCCTCCCTCACTGTGGCTGCAGCGCCCAGGACGGCACCCAGGGTTAGGAGCCCGGCCAGGCTGATGCCAATGTAGAAGGCTGGGTGGGGACAGAGAGCAGAAGGGTTAGGCATGTCCCGCACACGGGGTCCCCAGTGCACAGGGCCAGTATCTGCAATCCAACCCAAGGCTACACTCAGGCGGTAGGCTTCTGGGAGCTCTGAAGAGACCAGGAGCCCCACTCAGGCCAGGATGTACCACCCACCACCCACTCCCTCTCCTCCCAATGCTGAGAAGGCAGGAGGGAAGGAGGAGGCCAGAGGCCCTGCCCCCCACTTCTGCTTCCTGTCCGCCAGGGGATATCTCAGAAGCCACCAGGCAAGTGTGGGGTGCTCGTTCTTATCAGGCCAGGCCCAAGACCCAGGCTTCCTGCTCTAGGATTCAGGCTTCGGGGTAAAAACCTGGGGCCTCAGGGCCAGGAGGCCTGAGGCTGGGACCACAGCCTGTCTCTCTGGGCCTCAGTTTCCCCCATGGCTGCCCTCCTTGGCTGTGCTCTTGCCTGAGACCCAGCCCCCAGAATGCATCGAGGCTCAGGCCCCTTTGTTTCGGAGCAAACCCCCAGGACACTGAGGCCATCTGGATGCCACCTGCCCCCAGGCTCCCAGGACAGGAGATGAAGGCACAGGCTGGGGCCCAGACCCTTGGCTCTGCCCGGTGCAGAAGGACCCCAGGGTGGCCCTCTCTGCCCACACCCACTGCCTGACCTAGCCCGGCTCCACTCGGAGGCCCCCACCCGCCCAGCCTGGGGTACCTCCCCAACTGCCTTTGCACCTGAAGTCCCCTCCCCGACAGGAGCCACCTGACCTCACTTACCCCAGCGGTGCATGGCCTCATAGGGGGTCCTGTCTGAGGATACATGGCCGATGATAGCAAAGTGGGCCCCGAAGTAGGTGAGAACCGCCAATGTGGCCACAGACAGGCCCAGGAGCTGGGGGTGGGGCAGACCACAGTGTGGGGGCAGGGCTGGACACACGACGAGGCCCAGAGCGCAGGGTCTGGGTCTCCTGGGTCCCTTGACCAACCTCCCTCTAGCTTCATGGTCTCACTTGAGACAGGCTCAGCTTTGGGACTTCTGGGTGCTTCTGTAGGGTGGTCTCAGGGAGGCCTTTGTCCCAGACACCCCGCCACACACGCACACAGATACACTGACAAATACACACACACACACACACACACCGCTCTCCCCCCACTGCACACACATTCATTGTGCAGCTTCTCCCAGGACCCAGAACCTTGCATCATTCTGTCTGCACAGCCCCTAGCGGCCCCCTCCCCCTGCCCCCCTCTGACACCAGTTCACCAGCCACCCAGGTCCCAACGCTGCCTGGCGGGGCCCACAGGGCGTCCTGCGCAAACAGCCACTTGCCAGGGGTCCACCACCAGGGGCCCCAGGTGCATGTCCCGGGGGCAGGATGGGGACAGCAGGGCTGGGTGTGTGTGGGGACCACAGTGCTAGAGGTCTGCTGACACGCCCCCCCCCACACACACACCCCTCCCACCCGACCAGCCTGTTACCAAGACAAAGAAGCTGGTGACCAGCATCTGGCATTTGGCCACCCTGACCCGGCTCCAGGGCTGCATGGTGGCCATCTCTTCTCCCTTCTCCTCTGCTCTCTTCTCCCCTCCTCTGCTCTCTTCTCCCCTCCTCTCCCCGCCCTTCCCCACCCACTGTGGTTTCCAGCTGGGTGGGGGCCTCAGACCACAGCTGCCTGCCCAGGAGGTAGGCTGCTCTCTATTTGTCAACACACCCAGAGAACTGAGCCTCTGTTTGCTCCCAAAGACACGGAAGATGGGCAGGAAGGCAGTGGAGGGGCAGCGAGGTCAGTTCCTGCCACCCCTGCCTTCCCCAGCCCTGGCCCAAGGCACCAGGACCTCTGAGGGTATGAGGCTTCTCCCCAAAGGGTGCGGCCTTGTTCTTGGTCTGCCACAGAGCACATCCTGGGAGGAGGTGGGAGGAGGTGGTGAGTAGAGGCGAAGGTGCCCGGGTAGGGGGTGAGCTTCTTGTCCTGGGAGTATGCAAGCAGAATCCTGCCCAAGGCTTGATCCTTGCAGGAGTTTGGGAGACAGGATCTCATCTGAGCATCACTGTTGGAGCATCACCTTAGGAAACACCAACCGAAACATTCTGTGACGACATTTTGGAAAGGTAATTTGGAGCAGAGCTGTCTGGAGGGCGCCAGGGCAGCCGGGACCCCTTGTCAACCAGGTGCCCCCAGACCGCCCACCCTGGTCCCAGGAGGCCCCACCCTGGGTCTGCAGGGGCACGAGGGGGTCTCCGATGGCAAGTGCCTGTGGACCGCTCCAGGTGGAGCCCAGGTGTGACCCAAGGGACAGCAAGAGTGAAAGTGCGGGACCCCAGTATGTCAGGGAGTGGGCCATGCGGGCTGGCCAGCCTGACCCTCTGTCCATGGAGATGAGCCTCTCGTCAGGGTCTGCTGCATGCGCCTGTTGCTTTTCTCCAACTTTGGTGAGAAAGACAGAGCCTGGCAGCCTGTTGGGATGCAATGAGGTGACCCTGCCTGCTGCCAGCCCCCCGGGCGCCTCCGCACTGAGTTTGGAGGGAGCCTTGCTGAGCCGGAGCCGAGCCGGGCCTGGGTTCTTGCCCTGCCCCCGCCGAGCACGCACCGTGCACTGTGCATGGGTGGCCTTGCGTGTCTCCCCAGGGTGGCGCCGCATCCCTCGTGGGCAGGAGACAGAGCCCGGGCCTCCGACCACGGTCCCCTTTCCCCATACGCACGTTTACCCCGGTGAACCCCACCCCCTCGGCTGAACCACAGCCTCCCGCTCCAGCACCTCGCCACCCGCCCTGGGAAAGGAAGCGGCATCTGGGGGGGAAGCCGCCGGCTCTGCCTGGCTACCCGGCCTTCAGCCACATGCCCATCTTATCTGGGCACCTGGGCTGGCCACCCGCTCCTGAGGGCCGCGCTGACCCATGGGAGCCACGGGGGGACCTAAAGCAGCAGGCCCATCCCCGAGGGGCTGGCTCAGGGGGACACGCCCCTGCCTGCCTCCCTTGGACCTGAGGGTCAGGCGCCACCACGAGCCAGCCTGGGCTGCCTCCCGTTTTCTTTTCCTCGGAAGATGCTGAGCTTCCAGGTGTCCGAGGGCACGTGTGTGGGTGTGCTTGCACGTGTGGGCACACGTGTGTAATATGTTATTTGCTGGCCAGGGAACTCCTTTCTCTTTCCTCTCTCTGACCTCATCTAATAAAGGATTGGTTCAGTGGAAACTGTCACAGGAGCTCACTGAGAGTGCTCCCCGTGGCCACGGCAGGGACCACAGGGAGCCCGCTCGGCGATGCAGGACGGTAGCCCACCTTATCCCACAGACACCTGGGGACCCACGCTGGGCACATAGCCGATGGAGTAGAGGAAAGGGTGGCGGAGCCAGGACACCTGCCGGCCGGGAGAATCCCAGACACTGTGCACGGATGCGCCCCCATTGGGGGGGGGAAGCCCAACCCCCGCCCCTCAGGTGTGACTGTCACAGCGACTTCCTTCCTGAGACCACGGGATGGAAGGCTGCACCTGACGCACACCCTGCCAAGTGAGCAAGGCCAGCGTCACGGGGATGAGTCAGGTGGGGAGCACGGGCCCGGACGCGATGGGGTGGGAGGGCGCTTCACCCTGGGGTCCTCTTCCCAAACCCACAGCCCAATCTGACTGTGACACACACACACCAGACAAACTTCAACTGAGGGGCGTCCTACGGCGTGCCTGACCTGTCTGCCTCGGAACTGTCCGGGTCATCACAAGCTGTCACAGACATGAGGACTCAATGTCCCGGGGTGCCCTGGATGGGAACCTGGGACAGAAACAGGCTATTAGGGAAAAACTGAGACACTCGGAATAGAGTGCGGACTTCAGTGGACAATAATGGGTCAATAGCCATTGATTCATTGTGACGTGTCCCATACCCATGTCAGATGTTGGTATGAGGTGAAGCTGGGTGTAGGGTACATGTGAACTCCCTGTACTACCTTTGCAACTTTTCTGTAAATCTAAAACTGTTCTACAATATATTTTATTTAAAAACATGGTTTTGTCCAGCACCCCAGGCTCACAGCACAGAGGGAGCAGGCACGTAGGAGCTGGCTCTGCCTGTCCACTCATTCAGGGACGTCAAGTACTGGCCTGCCCGCCTGCCCACCTGCCCACCTGCCCGCCTGCCCATCTGCCCACCTGTCCACCTGTTCACCTGCCCACCTGCCCACCTGCCCGCCTGTTTACCTGCCCGCTTGTTCACCTGCCCGCCTGCCCGCCTGTTCACCTGCCCACCTGGGCCCCTGCCCACCTATTCACCTGCCCACCTGTCCCTCTGTC